ATAAGAAAGCAGAACGACGACAAATTGATGCTGGGAAACAAATATACGAAGCCCCATAAACCAATCACTTTACTTTTTTTCCGTATTTTTCCAATGAAATATGGCACAATGCGTATGTTAGTACTTCGTATTTATATTCCACGAAGTCGTTCCTTACAGATTAACCACAGATTCTCGATTGGATTTAAATCAGGAGACTTTCCTTGGAGTAACGTCCATCGCAGACAATGGACGTAGGACAACTAATCGATAGTCGAGACAATAGTGTCTGGGCGTGATGAAAATCTGATGCAATCACGTATGACCCAATATATTTGAAGGGCAAACAAATCTCATCATACACCTCAAAAATAGATTCATATTACTCCACATCACTGCAAATGACCTAATCTAAGGAAAAAAACAGAAATCCATTACACTCTATTACTCTAGTGTGTCTAAAACTGGCCGTATGGTGAAAGAAAGGAAACTAAAGCGGTTGTTTCAATTAATTTTCACACGGTGTATGTACGCAATATGATCAGAGGTTTTTTATTGGTTCGTTTGATTGATTTTGTTTAACAGCAGATCAACAACTCTGGATTATTTAATGCTGAACTCTAAATATTTTGAACACATAGCTTCAACTAAATTAATTTTGAATTCAATTGTATACCTTCAACTTCAGATAATAGTGTTTATTTTGCTATAAAATGTATTATTGGTCATTTTGCTATAAATAGGTGTCGTTGGTAATTTTAATATAAGAATGTATTCTTATACTTTCGTTGTGTCTTGTTTTAGCTTGGACGTTCACTATTTTCCCATATATGGGACCCTTACAGGTGTTAAAAGGTTTCAGGTTTTGATAAAAGCAGCGTACAATTTTGCAGATAGAGCACCGTTAGTGTTATGGTCTGGTTCCTTGTATCATGGTGATAATCCAAGGTAGAACCAATAAAGAACTCGAAGGAATATACAGATATATTACAAACAGGAATATATAGAGAGTAGTAGAAAGTGATAGTACGAACAATCAGGTTTAGTAGTAATTGTCTGAACGCAACTCTGTTTGGATTGCTTCTGACTCGACTGACTCGCTCTGACTAACTGACTGACTCCTGTCGGACTTCACTCCAGACTTTAGACTGAACAGTATTTAGTAACTCCCCCCCCACGAAGGCATCATGTGGCACAAGGCCGGTTTAACGTGGGATCTCCGAGCCCGTGGGCTCGGCCAAAAATAAGCCCTTTGAACCTGTATAAACGGGTTCAGGGTCAGTTTACCTCCCCGAAAGAGACGCTGCCCTTCGGCGTAGCCTCGTTCGGGTTCCTCCCCGTCCGAAGGCAGAGAGTTCAACTGATCAGCCGGTCAGCCGGTCGCCCGACTTCGGACTGAACTCCCCGCTTCCTCTTGAGGCGCAGTATTTATTACGTATGGAATAGTCCATTATGTTATTATGGGTAAGGTCCCACCACAGTTAGAAATGTCTTTCAGGTCGGGTAACCCTTTTTCCCTCACACGGTCACCGACTGGGGACATTCCAAAATATCTAAACGTGGTTCCTAAATCACCTTGGCTGACTTGTCCTTCAAAATTAAACGAATTATCCTTTCGACAACACTCCATAATGCTTCCCATCTATACAGGCTTTTGAACAGAGCTGCAAAGAACGTCAGCCTATAAGAGACATCCCCAATTGTTTATTGTCAAGGAATTAGCAAGCAAATGTATTATACTAAATGGGATATTTACTTTAGTTCATCTTAATTCACCAAAATAAGATATTTACATGTTACAACTTCCACCCTATTAAAATCAGAAGCCATGAGAGGCACTTCTTGTGTAGAATCAGGGTTTATTATCATTATTATTATTACACAAAAAACCTGTCATGCTAACATTTTTATTAATAAGTGTGTACAAATGAAAAAATATGGAAATGAAAACTTTTTCTATTTCAATGAAACAGACGATAAACAGTTCTATCTCTTCTTCCTTCTGAAGCCAAGTCGCGTCTCTGATATGTTAGTTCCTTGATTTGACGCGGTCAAAACGGAATAGTCCAATATTTATGATCTACTGACAGGGCGTAACGGTCAGGTGAACTAACTAAGGGACTAACAAAGGGAGGGAGGGACAAGCAAAATTATTATTATTATTATTATTATTATTATTATTATTATTATTATTATTATTCAGAATTAATTCTTAATGCCCTACTTTGCTTATTCATGGAGCCGAGTTCACCCTTTCGACTTGGGGCATCCATGAGAGTGTGACGGGTTTATTAAATGGGCAGATTACACCTTAGTATATGAGCAGTGCTGAGGAGGAGGGGGAGGAGGAGAATCTCCGGGATTTCTTGTATCTTGATGTTGCCAGGGATTTTTATTTCGTCTACAGGCTTGAATACTGGAGAAGACATATAGAAGTTAATAGGCCTACATCCCCCTTTGCAAGAGAAACCGCCGTTCAATCCGGCTTCAAAATTAAGTATGGTTCTAATTCATCTTTAAAGCCCACTTTACTCGCTCGGATTGTCTCGAAAGTTCTAATAGCGCAGTTTCGTATGCGAAACGTAAACAAATCAATTTATACAGAATTTATTAATCCGTCATATTTTTATTATTAAAACGTCATTTTCAGTGGATACCCATATATCCTGTCTGAGGGCACATTATCATTAATAAATTTTCTCGAATTTTCAAGGCCGGTAGACGAAATAAAATACTATTTAAAATAAACAGAGAATCTGCTCAGATATGGGTATCCACTAAAAAATAACATTTAAAGTAGTAAAAAATATGTCGGATTAAATAAATCTATAAATTCTGTAGAAATTGCTTTTATTAATTTCCTCACACACACAAACACACACACACACAGAGAGACACACACACACACACACACACGCACACATATATATATATATATATATAGACATTAACACACAAAGAAAAGCAACTCCTGAATGTGTATACTAGAAAGTAAGACCGAAAAAGTGCTCACTACTGCAATAGCCGAACCTGATATACAGCGCGCAAGAGGGCGCGCCAACTGGAAGCTGTGATAGGTCATGTATTTGCTGTATATATATATATATATATATATATATATATATATAGTACGGCACACACATGACAGTGCCCATTTTTATTTATTAAACAGTGTGTATTAGGTCTATCGGCCAGCGCATTCCAAAACTTTTTCAAATTAGCTTGGATTTTTCGAATGCATACCGACAAATGAATAAAAATAAGGCGTCTATTTCAATTAAGAAGTATCCGCTATAGTAACGTTTGAAGTAATATATATATATATATATATGTAGCCACTCGTATTCGAGGATACCCGTCTAATAGGTCGGTTAGCCAATCCCTATTACAGATTTTGCTCAGGCGCATTTGTGTTTATTCAACACCCATAGGGCCCACCTGTAATTTATCCTGCAACTGTGCTGAGCAGACCTTAGTTACAGTTTCTGGGAAAGAGCGTGTTATCTAGTATAATCAACAATTTGAACAAGTCCACCATGCGCAAGCCCTCGGCCATTATGACTTGTGACTTCGTGCTAGCACACCTATCGACAACCCCCCAAATGTTCCCTCAACCTAATTTCACTCACAAGGCTTGGGTCAACCCGTGGTATCATTTTCAGCCACTTTACAAAGGTGCCACACGTTGATATATATATATATATATATATATATATATATATATATATATATAAATTTTTGTTTTTATTTTCTTTTAAATCTTTATTTTATTTATACGCGTATTGAGCACTTTTTAATACTACTGTTTCCTGCTCTAATTGATCTGTGACCAATAACTTTTCTTAAGGGTTCCCTGCTTGACTGATTTTACAAATTATGACCAAATGGCAAAACAAGAGATTTCATTTGAGAATCCTTTCTTGGTAAAACCGAGAAATTCTCACCACCTATTCATATATTATGTGCGAATCGAAAGTCCGGAAAATTTCATCAAAATAATTACGTAAACCTAATACAGACTTGCAATTATCTCCGTGCTAGTATATCCTTGGGCATGTATTCAATGATCTCATAAAAAGGGTCGATCACAACGATATAAAAAGTATCACTCAAGGCGACACTATATATGTACGATTGACAAATATGTCGTAAAAGTGACGCTCACGGGTAGATTTGTGAGATCACTAACGGTTAGAAAATTTGTGAGGTCACTTTCAGCAGTACTATTTATTAGATCACTGTTAGCAGTACTTTTATGAGATCGCCACGAGCAGTACTATTTGTGAGACCAATATTAGCAGTACATTTTATTAGGTCACTATGAGCAAAGCGTTTATGAGGTCAGTATTAGCAATACATTTCATGAGGTCGCTCTCACCTATATTTCTTGTGAGGTAGCAATGAGCAGTACTTTTAATTAGACAACTATTAGCAGAATTTTGTGAGGTTGCTTCGGGCAGTGCATTTTATGTCAATTATGTACTTTTTAAGTGATCACTACGAAGAGTCGATTTTCAGATTATTATGTGCAGTACATTTTACGTCATCGCTACAAAGATTCCATTTTTAGATTATTATGTGCAGTACATTCTAAGTGATCGCTAGGAAGAGTCCATTTTTAGATTATTATGTGCAGTACTTTTTACGAGATCGCTAAGAAGAGTCCATTTTGAGATTAATATGGGCAGTACTTTTTACGAGATCACTACGAAGGGTACATTTTTAGATTACTATGTGCTGTACTTTTTACGTGATCGCTACTAAGAGTCCATTTTTAGATTATTATGAGCAGTACTTTCTACGTGATCGCTAGGAAGATTCCATTTTGAGATTATTATGTGCAGTACTTTTTACGAGATAGCTACCAAGAGTCAATTTTTAGATTATTATGTGCAGTACTTCTTACGAGATCGCTACGAATAATCCATTTTGAGATTATTATGTGCAGTACTTTTTACGAGATCGCTGCAAAGAGTCCATTTATAGATTATTATGTGCAGTACTTTTTACGTGATCGCTACGAAGATTCCATTTTGAGATTATTATGTGCATTGATTTTTGCGTGATCGCTACGAAGAGTCCATATTTAGATTATTATGTGCAGTACTTTTTACGTGATCGCTACGAAGAGTCCATTTTTAGATTATTATGTGCAGTACTTTTTACGTGATCGCCACGAAGAGTCCATTTTTAGATTATTATGTGCAGTACTTTTTACTTGATCGCTACGAAGAGTCCATATTTAGATTATTATGAGCAGTACTTTTTACGTGATCGCTACGAAGAGTCCATTTTTAGATTATTATGTGCAGTACTTTTTACGTGATCGCTACGAAGAGTCCATTTTTACATTATTTTGTGCAGTACTTTTTACGATATCGCTACTAAGTGTCCATTTTTAGATTATTATGTGCAGTACTTTTTACGCGATCGCTACGAAGAGTCAATTTTTAGATTATTATGTGCAGCACTTTTTACGAGATCGCTACGAATAATCCATTTTTAGATTATTATGTGCAGTACTTTTTACGAGATCGCTGCTAAGAGTCCATTTATAGATTATTATGTGCAGTACATATTACGTGATCGCAAAGGAAGAGTCCATTTTTAGATTATTATGTGCAGTACTTTTTACGAGATCGCTACTAAGAGTCAATTTTAGATTATTATGTGCAGTACTTTTAACGCGATCGTACGAAGAGTCACTTTTTACGTTTTAGATTATTATGTGCAGTACATTTTTTTTACGTGATCGCTACGAAGAGTCCATTTTAGATTATTATGTGCAGTACTTTTTTACGTGATCGCTAGGAAGAGTCCATTTTAAGATTATTATGTGCAGTACTTTTTACGTGATCGCTACGAAGAGTCCATTTTTAGATTATTATGTGCAGTACTTTTTTTACGAAGATCATTTTAGATTATTATGTGCAGTCCTTTTTATTTTAGAATTAGATTATTGTGCAGTTGATTTTACGTGATCGCTATGAAGAGTCCGAAGAGTCCATTTTAGATTATTTTTGCAGTATTTTTTACGTGATCGCCACGAAGAGTCCATTTTAGATTATTATGTGCAGTACTTTTTACGTGATCGCTACGAAGAGTCCATTTTTAGATTATTATGTGCAGTACTTTTTACGTGATCGCTACGAAGAGTCCATTTTTAGATTATTATGTGCAGTACTTTTTACGTGATCGCTACGAAGAGTCCATTTTAGATTATTTTGTGCAGTACTTTTACGTGATCGCTACGAAGAGTCCATTTTTAGATTATTATGTGCAGTACTTTTTACGCGATCGCTACGAAGAGTCAATTTTTAGATTATTTTGTGCAGTACTTTTTACGTGATCGCTACGAAGAGTCCATTTTTAAATTATTATGTGCAGTACTTTTTAGGAGATCGCTGATAAGAGTCCATTTATAGATTATTATGTGCAGTACATTTTACGTGATCGCAACCAAGAGGCAATTTTTAGATTATTATGTGCATTACTTTTTGCGAGATCGCTACGAAGAGTCCATTTTTAGATTATTATGTGCATTACTTTTTTACGTGATCAAAAACGAAGAGTCAATTTTTAGATTATTATGTGCAGTACTTTTTACGTGATCGCTATGAAGAGTCCATTTTAGATTATTATGTGCAGTATTTTTTACGTGATCGCTACGAAGAGAAGAGTCCAGTACTTTTTAGATATTATTATGTCCAGATTACTTTTTACGTGATCGCTACGAAGAGTCCATTTTTAGATTATTATGTGCAGTAATTTTTACGTGATCGCTACGAAGAGTCCATTTTTAGATTATTATGTGCAGTACTTTTTACGTGATCGCTACGAAGAGTCCATTTTTAGATTATTATGTGCAGTACTTTTTACGTGATCGCTACGAAGAGTCAATTTTGAGATTATTTTGTGCAGTACTTTTTTTACGATATCGCTACTTTTTACGTGATCGCTACGAAGAGTCCATTTTAGATTATTTTGTGCAGTACTTTTTACGTGATCGCTACGAAGAGTCCATTTTAGATTATTATGCGCAGTACTTTTTACGTGATCGCTACGAAGAGTCCATTTTTAGATTATTATGTGCAGTACTTTTACGTGATCGCTACGAAGAGTCCATTTTTTTAGATTATTATTGCAGTGTGCAGTTTTTACGTGATCGCTATTTTTAGAAGATGTCAATTTTTAGATTATTATGTGCATTTTTAGATTATTAGTACTTTTTTTACGTGATCGCTACGAAGAGTCCATTTTAGATTATTATGTGCAGTACTTTTTACGAGATCGCTACGAAGAGTCAATTTTAGATTATTATGTGCAGTACTTTTTACGTGATCGCTACATGAAGAGTCCATTTTAGATTATTATGTGCAGTACTTTTTTTACGAAGATCGATTATTACGAAGACTTCCATTTTAGATTTTAGATTATTATGTGCAGTACTTTTTTACGAGATCGCTACGAAGAGTCCATTTTAGATTATTTGCAGTACTTTTACGTGATCGCTACGAAGAGTCCATTTTAGATTATTATGTGCAGTACTTTTTACGTGATCGCTACGAAGAGTCCATTTTTAGATTATTATGTGCAGTACTTTTTACGTGATCGCTACTAAGTGTCCATTTTTAGATTATTATGTGCAGTACTTTTTACGTGATCGCTACGAAGAGTCCATTTTTAGATTATTATGTGCAGTACTTTTTACGAGATCGCTACGAAGAGTCCATTTTTAGATTATTATGTGCAGTACTTTTTTTTATGCCACTTGATCGCTAACGAAGAGTCCATTTTAGATTATTATGTGCAGTACTTTTTACGTGATCGCTACGAAGAGTCCATTTTAGATTATTATGTGCAGTACATTTTTTACGTGATCGAAGAGACCATTTTAGATTAGCTACGAAGAGTCAATTTTTAGATTATTATGTGCAGTACTTTTTACGTGATCGCTACGAATAGTCCATTTTTAGATTATTATGTGCAGTACTTTTTACGTGATCGCTACGAAGAGTCCATTTTTAGATTATTATGTGCAGTACATTTTACGAGATTTTAAGAGTCCATTTTAGATCGCTACGAATAAGTCCATTTTAGATTATTATGTGCAGTACTTTTACGTGATCGCTACGAAGAGTTCATTTTTAGATTATTATATGCAGTACTTTTTTAGTCGAGATCGCTACTTTTTAGAGTCCATTTTTAGATTATTATGTGCAGTACTTTTTTACGTGATCGTTACGAATAGTCCATTTTTAGATTATTATGTGCAGTACTTTTTTACGTGATCGCTACGAATAATCCATTTTTAGATTATGGGCAGTACTTTTACGTGATCGCTACCAAGAGTCCATTTGCAGTATTTTTTTTACGTGATCGCTACGAAGAGTCCATTTTAGAAGCTGTTTATGCAGTACTTTTTACGAGATCGCTAATAAGAGTCCATTTTTAGATTATTATGTGCAGTACTTTTTTTACGTGATCGCTACGAAGAGTCAATTTTAGATTATTATGTGCAGTACTTTTTACGAGATCGCTACTAAGAGTCCAATTTTAGATTATTTTAGATTATTATGTGCAGTACTTTTTACGCGATCGCTACGAAGAGTCCATTTTAGATTATTATGTGCAGTGCTTTTTAGTGATCGCTACGAAGAATCATTTTTTACATGATTATTTTACGAAGAGACCATTTTTAGATTATTATGTGTAGTACTTTTACGAGATCGCTACTAAGAGTCCATTTTTAGATTATTATGTGCAGTACTTTTTACGATATCGCTACGAAGTGTCCATTTTTAGATTATTATGTGCAGTACTTTTTACGCGATCGCTACGAAGAGTCAATTTTTAGATTATTGCAGTTTTACGATATGCAGTATTTTTTTACGTGATCGCTACGAAGAGTCGATTTTTAGATTATTATGTGCAGTACATTTTACGATATAGCTACTAAGTATCCATTTTTAGATTATTATGTGCAGTAATTTTTTTATCGCTACGATCCATTTTTAGATTATACGAAGAATTTTTTTTTTAGATTATGTGCAGTACTTTTTAAGTGATCGCTACGAAGAGTTCATTTTTAGAATATTATGTGCAGTACTTTTTACGATATCGCTATTAAGTGTCCATTCTTAGATTATTATGTGGAGTACTTTTTACGATATCGCTACAAAGTGTCCATTTTTAGATTATTAAGTGCAGTATTTTTACGCGATCGCTACGAAGAGTCAATTTTTAGATTATTATGTGCAGCACTTTTTACGTGATCGCTAATAAGAGTCAATTTTGAGATTATTAAATGCAGTACTTTTTACATGATCGCTACGAAGAGTCCATTTTTAGATTATTATGTGCAGTACTTTTTACAAGATCGCTACTAAGAGTCAATTTTTAGATTATTATGTGCAGTACTTTTTACGCGTTCGCTACGAAGATTCCATTTTTAGATTATTATGTGCAGTACTTTTTACATGATTACTACGAAGAGACCATTTTTAGATTATTATGTGTAGTACTTTTTACGAGATCGCTACTAAGAGTCCATTTTTAGATTATTATGTGCAGTACTTTTTACGGTATCGCTACTAAGTGTCCATTTTTAGGTTATTATGTGCAGTACTTTTTACGTGATCGCAACGAAGAGACCATTTTTAGATTATTATGTGCAGTACTTTTTACGTGATCGCTACGAAGAGTCCATTTTTAGATTATTATATGCAGTACTTTTTACGATATCGCAATTAAGTGTCCATTTTTAGATTATTATGTGCAGTACTTTTTACGTGATCGCTACGAATAGTCCATTTTTAGATTATTATGTGCAGTACTTTTTTACGAAGAGTCAATTTTAGATTATCAGTCGCGTGATCGCAACGAAGAGACCATTTTTAGATTATTATGTGCAGTACTTTTTACGTGATCGCTACGAAGAGTCCATTTTTAGATTATTATGTGCAGTACTTTTTGCGAGATCGCTACTAAGAGTCCATTTATAGATTATTATGTGCAGTACTTTTTACGTGATCGCTACGAATAGTACATTT